CCAAAGGACAATGTCATGTGACCGTTACACAAATGCCATGTGACCTGCCAGTCATGCTGGTGTGACACAGGTTACAGATATCTTATCCTAACCAATTGCGAAAGACAGTTAATCATAACACAAGGAGGATTTTCAAATTTTCTGTTAACACTGGAATTTGAACTCTGAACCTGCCACTTGGGGGTTGACAACCTGACCACTTCACTAGGTTGCCACACCCCTTTGTAATAGTTTATTGAATTACATTACCAAACAAAATCATTAATAAAAATCAAAAGACCAAAAAAGTCACCTTAATACCAAAAAATAAAAAATAAAACTATTGTATAACATGATCTTACCATTAATATTTAAAAAAATAAAACTATTGTATATTAATCTAATATTAATTGAATAAAATATTTATGATTTGACATTATAAAAAAAAAATCTAATAAAGTTTAATAACAAAACTATCAAAGTAAAAAAAAAAAAAATTAATTGTTTTAAGAAAATTTTAAATAAATAATTTATAATATTAAATGTTAATTATAATTTTTCAAATCAAATTAAATTACAAAACCCTAATACTATTAAATTATATAAATAATTGATTCTTTTTTTTAATAAATATAAACTATAGTTTGAAAACACTTACAGTTATTTACTGTTCTTATAAAAACAGTAATTAAGTCTGAGATTTAAAACACTACCTAGAATACTGTAACTCAACCTTATTTTTTAGCCTTATTGTCAATCTTTGCATCATATTATAAATAATTATAAATTTTTTTTTGTTACATATCAGCATGATTTTAAAGAAGCCGACATAAAGTTTTTTTTATAAAGTCCATTAGATATACAGTCAAACCCCCTAAATGCACCCACCCCCCTAAGTGCACGTCCTATTAAACACCTTCCTAAATGCACGTCTTCTCTTGGGCCCAACTAATATTACATCTATAGATTTTTACCTCTCTAAATGCAACACCTTTCTAAGTGCACATTTGACTAAATTTTTATATATGGTCCCGTCGCATTGCATTTAGAGGCCTGACTGTAATTTCTATCTTGAAGTAAATTTCGTATAGCAGAAAACGTGAAAAATGCAATCTCGTACAACGCTTGATCCGAATAAATATTAGGAAACTAATTTATTTTCATATTGTATGTTAAAACTGGCCAAACCCGGCTTTAACATATGAAATAAAACCGGTTTATACACATTATAAAGATTTTCAATTTTTTCTACGTAGCGGTAGCGCTAGTCATTCGATTTCCAATTGAGGAAAACCTGTTTATTATTTTATAAAAAGATTCATATGATAAAAAAAAATTTGTAATAGTTCCACCTCAAAACTATTAGGTGTTTGCTTATACAAGATATAGTTACATGAATCCACCCAGCAGATCATTCATGTAAGCATTTCCGTTTCTGTTAGCATTCTGTGGTGGAGTAGAATTATTTGCGTTACGTAAAGGAAGATTGGGAGAACTAAAATTTCCTGGAAAGGATTGGGGCAACGTGTTTGGTTTCAAATTTGGACTGTTATATAATGATAAAATAGATGACTTCAAAGTATCATGGTTAGATGTGGAAGTTGAAGTGGATGAATGGGTTGCTTGGGGATTAGAATTTTCCTGGACTGGGTTAGAAGGTACATTGCTTGAAAGAGATGGTTGACCTATCGAAAATAGGTCAGCACCTTTAAGCTGCGATACTGATGAAGGATTATTTGATGGAACGTTGGATATAGATGAAGGAGCGAAAATATCCAATATATTATTTTCATTTGTTTTTGAAGGTAGTGAGGATCTCTCCGAAATTTGAGATTCATTGACAATTTTGGTTGAAGATGGCAATTCCTGCTAAAAGTTCAATTGTAAAAGATGATATTTGACATTTATTTTATTTAAAGTTATTAAGAAATAAAAAATTCCTAAAATTCCTACGGATTTATTCGAATATCCATCGCCTAATGTAGCTGGATCGGGTATCGGACCCTTCATTGCCCACCGCTTTAGTTCATATTTGGATCTAATCCAACTGTCAATATTGCTAGATTGAAATAGGTTAAAATTCATATTGTTTTCCAATATGTTATAAATTTTGATAGTATATAATTACCTTTCCGAAGGCTGCTTATTTGAGAGATTTGCCTCCCAATAACTTTAAACATAAAAATAAATAAAAAATAAAAATAAAAAAACAAATAAATACGATTTTAATTAAAAATTGTGATATCTTTGAAAGTTCTGACATCACAAAATATAGGCAGTAATGATTAATAAAATTACTTACAGGTTTGCTTTTGCATTGCCCCATTGAGTCATATTCTACAAATTAGTGAATTCAACGAATAAATATAAACATATACAACATATATATAAATAAATAAAAAATTAGAGTACTTCGACTTGTTCTGTGGTCCATGTGTCCAAATCGACGGACTTGACTGAAAGTATATTAATCACATTAAGAACAAATAATCGTCAAATATATTTTAACCAGAGATTTCCATGATAAAAATTGCATACCACGACTAATATGGGTCCCCATAGATCGATGAGTGCCTGAGCATCTAATGCAAATAAAAATGCCCAAAGACCAGGATGCCCAGCGTGGATCTATATAAAATAAAACAAACTTAGCGTTACATTTAAACCATTTATAGTTCTATGGTGGTTAATCTAAACCTCTTCTTTTGCAATCTGCACAGTACTTATTTTCTGGCTTGCTCAAGCAACTTGCCAGAATCTTTGCATGTTTCTCATTAAGGCTTTTATCGGCAGCTCTTTGAAGTCTTGTAGACATTTGAACAAATCTAAATTGACTCGATGAAGACTAATTGACCGTGTGTGTATTGTATGATAAAGGTTCTATATAAAATGAGCGTTTTTTTAATAGTTCGAAGAAAAAGACTGGAAACCAACGTTTAAATCTATCGCTTTCCAGCTTTAATCAAAGCTGCAATAGTATTGTTATACAACTTTTATTATATATGTTGTGCGTAGTGATGCTGTAACTATCACTTCATGTAGATCAAAGGTACAGGAGCTACAGGAGCAGGAACCCGTAAAATTTAAAATAATGTATATCGATATTAATATTGGATCAAATTTGATGCATTTTTTTTTTACGCATCAAAAATTTGTTTAAATAACTTGCAGTTATTAAATGTTAATACCGTATTTCGCGGGCCAAACCACTCCTGCACAATTTTTTCCAATTTTATATACATTGGCGGATTAACATAAACCAAAATTAATTGGTTTTCATAACCCGCCGGAACATTCAATTATACGTATTTCGTGTGCAGTTAGTCGTCTATGGAAAATCTATCATGATAGATTCTCTACAGACAGCTAACGAAATATAATTGAATATCCGATGACAGGTTTTCTCTTGGGCGCACTCATATGCTTTAATAACTAAGTGGGTTTTTAAAAAAAATTTTTTTTCAGTCTGTTCAAAATAAAAAACTCTTCTGTAGATTAATTTTTCATAAGTAAAAAAATAATAATAAATTACAACTAAACATATTTAGTTTTAGTGATATCATAACAGACAAGGGACATTTCCACTTACAGGGGTTCAAAATGTTTTAATTATAGGTCAAATGACTTGATGTACCTCAATTTT